TGTCTTTTTGTGTTATTGCTATGAGCGAATATCTTCTACGTTTCCAAAGCTTTTTACTCAATTCAATAAATTTCTACGGCTATAATTTCGCAGTAAGCTACGCGAAACCAAATATCGCGCGAGGCCGTTTCGATTTTACATGAACTGTTATGCGACTTCTTATTCACATTGAAAACGCCCATAAAATAATAATCCATTTTATTTGAGCGAGTAATTTAATTAGAATGTCGGTCAGTGATGGCAAATAAATGTTATTCTTAGTTTAACGTGGGGGATAAATTCTTCCTTTTGTCTCGGTTATATGTCTTTTATATCTTATATATTGTTGTAACATTCTCTTACAAATAAAATACTGTTGGCCGGCAATTTATTTTTTGTAAGCAAACGTTGGCTATCAATTCGCGGGCTACTTTTCTAAAAGCTGCCCTCTTCAAGCCAATACAATAACGGACAAAGATAAATTTCACTTATACAGGACCACTTTGGTATAATCTTAAAGAAATACAGAACAAAGGAAACGACTGACAGGCACAATTATTTACAAACGCATGGTTGTAATGCACAATTTGAAAGCCCAATTCGACGGTCTCGCGCCGCTTTTAATGTGTAAATCTTTGCAACGCCTCACAAATTCTCCCTTACAGCCTTAATATTTCTTTACCCTTTCAAGGGTATCTGATTTTCTTATGACCCTTTAGCGTATCATTACCTCATTTCCTACCTGTCTACAAAATTAACATTATTAACGCATTATCACGTAACTTTGATGCCGTAGGATCGAAATATCCCTTCACATCAGATGCAAACAAAACACCCCGGATTTGTAAACTTCCCGTACCCCGGGCTAACATGGAACACCACTTTGGGTGCCTTCCGGTCCCGATTCTCCTTGACTGTCTCTCATCCAACCCCTTATAATTTTATGCTTGCCCTGGGCTATTTCGATTATATTCAAATTCGGCGAATGTGCAGCTAGAGTTTGGGTGTTGGCGAAAAGTAATCCGGTTTAAAATTCGCCTCCTATTTTTAGAGCGCCAATGAAGCGAAGGTGTTACCTGTGATAAAACCAAAATTGCTTTGGGGAATTTGGAAAATTAATCTAATTATGATTTACGGCGCGGGTTTTATCCACACATCTCTGAATTTTGTACACCGTCACCCGAAATTGCGTTTTATGTAGACTGGGAAGGACCTACTTCAAGTTAAAATTTATATCTCTGTTTAATGTTTCCTTGGGCCGCATTTACCTAAAAACAACGCATACGGTAGCCTTTTTCGCGCTTAATTATGTGCCTCGGTGTACTCCGACCATTAATTTAGGCAGTGATTAGTAAATGCCAGGGAAAGTAGGATTCGTGCGAACGCTTGATTTTAAAGCAAACAATTGATGAAGAAGGATTTAGTTGGCGGTCGTTATTTCAACATGCAACTAAGCGAGTTCGCTCTGTTAATTTATGATTATGTACGCTTCTGGAACGCGAACAAGAAAATCAATTTAGTCAGCCGTTAAGACTCTTGCAAACAATATACTGACCGACCTCAACAAACTATTCCATACATATTCATGGCTTTGTTTATTAAATTGCGGTCTTTTATATCCCTCAAAATGGAACGTAATTAATATGATGGAAAAGTTCCTATTAAAAAAAAGTGTCAACGACGTTTTTATAATGCGAAAGATAAAGCCCATCGCTAACTTTTCTATTCAGGAAATACATCCCACTAATGAGGTCGCATGCATAATCTACATTTTTACTGTATCAAGCTTTAAAACTTCAGAAGCGTTTTAGGGCATCTGAAAATTACTGGCATAAAAGCGTTCTAATATTAATAAACCCTTATTGTATCTACGATCAAATACCTATGATAGTTCCATTCTAACAACGAGAATCGAGATTTAGTATTAATGTCGCCCGTGAGTACCCGTCATTTCTGGCAAAATGTCAAAACCATCTTATTAAAATTTCATACGGCATTAACGCATTAATATTGATGTACCTACTATTTATCTTACCCCTAATTATTTGCGGCCGAAATTCATAACAGTCGTCAATTTGATCTACTCGCCACCAACTAACGCAAAATTACCACTCTAATCTTCCTGTTCGAACAACGCAACATTCCGCTTTATAAAACTGTGCCGTTTTAATTCTATGCTTTACTAAACTAAAATTGTAAATGCGGCTTTGAATTCACCTGCATTAACCCAAATTAAGTCTTTCGAGGTGGCGGCAGATAAAAGCGTAAGCGTTGCAAAATAAATTAATAAGCTTTTCATGCGCTGACAATAATTCACATTATCAAACGCATAAAAGCGGCACGAATTCTAAACCATTATAAATTTATGAAATGATCGAGCGTGATGTAGCAATTTTACGGTATTGGGGGGTAAGGGCCGCCTATTTAAAGCAACCACCCAAAGTCGGTTATAATAACATTTTCCTTTTAAAAGAATGCGGTTTTATAATTCTCTTCGGACATCTTATCGTTTTTATAATGAACACCTGTCAGGATAAGGGATGAGACTCCTTTTAATCATTTTCCTCAAGCTTTAAAATGTATAGCGCAATTAAATGAATGTCAGAAAATCACTATACCGTTTGATTACCTTCAAGTTTAAATTAAAGTAGCATTAAGATTATCGGGGGGCCATTGACTATGGTGTAAGCTTTAACATTAAACTAAGCTTATATTAGGATGGATCGTTTTATTATTAGGACAATATAATGCGAGAGGAACCACCTGCGTTCTTAATTTAAAGAATCTTTTGGAAATTTTCATTAGTTGTCAAGAGAACATTATAACCAACCTTCATAAACCTTTATGTATTAAAGAGGACATGATATACAAAAGTTCATGAAAGTATCTCCAACTATGTGTAGATAGCCATATATCCGACTGAATCCCTTAATTTAAGGAGGAAGCTTTTTAAAGCTTAAGGATCACAATGAACTTTGAAGATAGTTGATGGAGGGAGAGTCAAATTCCTCTCCTAAAGTACTCTTTTTGCGTTCGGTGTAGATGAAATATCTTTTGAACTTTTAAAGAAAAGCAAATTCAACTTAGGTGTCCTCTGTGGAGCTCCGAGACTTACCTTTTGGCAAAAGAAACTACATCAGTTCCCAATTCACGTTAGTTGTTGTGACGAAGGTCTGGTTCTGGTTGACGTTAATAGATTTTGGTGGGAATGTAAAGGTAAACTGAAGAATTACCTTCAAATTTGTATCGTTAAATTGAATAGTTGGCTTGTCAAATCAAACACCGAATTGCCGTAAGTTTTCAAATATAATGCTGTGTAATGTCGGTTTGGGACGTCGATATTTAGGTCCAGGCACTTGGGATGATATGCGGATTATTAACCAAATGCTCATTACAACTCATGTTAATCAATTTCGTCGGATTATTTACGAATAAACACAAAACGATTTTGAGTATCTGCTTTGTTTATTTCTTGCATTATAAAAGAAAGGGCATTTCTTAGAATTAAGGTTAAGAAAATTGTTTACTCAATTTCCGTTATCAATTTTATTTTGTTAATGCATTTGAGACAGCTCCGACTTGATTTATTGGATATTTAGTTTATTTTGTACAAGATTAATGTAATTGTCGCGAGATAAGGTGGTTTTTTAATCGTAAAGCAACTTGTTTTTGTAGAAATGTTTTAGTTTACGTACGTACGTGACCAAAACACGCATCCTGTCGTAAGTTGTTGATTGGCTTGTCGAGTTACCAAGGGTCCTTAATTGGTTAAGAAATTTCGATGCTATCTAAGGAGAGAAGCCCGTTTAAATACTGGAGTCCGCGACACTTATTTGTCAAATTCCAGGCCGGGGTGCCGTTCGTTAGAAGAAAGTTTTTCGTCAAGTTCGAGACCAAGTTGCGGTCTTTTGAAGAAGCCGTCTGTCAGAACAGAAGACACGCGTGTCTGTTTAAGTGGCAAAGTAGTTGCCTTTCGTCGTTTATAAACAAATTTGTCACAGAGAAGCCAGTACGTGCTGGGAATAGCAGTTGCATTGAAGTTCGATTCATCGGTGGCATAGCCAGATACCACAATCAACGTCTGTATAACCTGTGGGAGGAATTGATTTAAGAAGACCAAGATTTTGTGTGTAACGTGTCGGTTAAGTGCATTGATTCCATTAGTATTGACAGATCGTTTCATGTAAAAACGGAATCGGAGGAGAGTAGTGTAACTTCCCACTAAGTTTATTGTTCATCTTAATATCGCTGTGCTACGAATAAAGGTAGGTATAAAGCTGGCAATCATGCGCACCGTTTGAACCACCCCCTAGATTCTCAATAAATGAGCGAAATGTTTACAAAATTCATTAACGATAAGTGCAACTCTTATCTACCACCGGAGAAAAACATGAGATAAACTTTTTACATATTATGCAAATAATTTTGAGATCTTCCTTATCTTATAACATGTAATTTATTTATTTACAATATAAATAATATAATAATAAACAAAAATTAAACACAGTTCAAACTACGTAAATTAACGCAAAAATATTTTACAGAACAATTAGGATTTTATTGTATAAGCATCCGATTAAAAAAAGTTTAGGTCTTTAAGAACACATGGGCAAATAACTATACAATTATTATCAATTTTAGTAGACGATAAGTACTGTTTTGGGGAACTTTCATAGCGCGCAGCCTTGTATACTTACTTATACATTATAGGTACCTACTGAAGTCATCCTGCTTAGTGATTAATTCCGAATTAAGCATACTAATCTTTATATTTCACTGGAATTTTAAAATCGAAATAACGAATTCGTAGTCCTTCTAATTTTTGATTAATTTTTTTAATGCCCTATTTTGGTAATATGCTGAACGGTCGATGTAGTATTTGTTGATGTAGTATTCGAAATGTGAATCAGTTTTTCTAAGAAAAACAACATCGGCGTTGACGATTTCGAAGCCATAAATTCATGACTAAATGTACAGAATTTGGTGGTGCAACAAAAACATTAACATTAATAAAATCTTACGTTCGAGCGTGGGCAATCGCTTAATATGGGGTCGAAAGGAAGGTGGAATTCCAACTACCAGCATCGATTCTCCATCTTCTATGTAGTGTACGTTCATTTTTAACAATTCCTCTGATCTGCAAGCTGCAACTTCCTCCAATATCCATAATTGTCACAATCTACAACCACAAACTTTGGAAGCATATGAGCATGCAATGTTTTACACAAACTAACCTTTATCAGCAAGTGGCATCTTAGGGGATGAAAGAAGCGCCTTCATATGCTTCGTCACTTTCGTCTTCAATATTTTTAGAAGGGTTTACAGGCATAATTTTACCAAAATAAAAAATTCTTAATTTTTGTTGATAGTTACAAACAAGCGAGCGTAACTATGACATCCTAAAAAGCCTACCTTACTTTTTCATAGTTTTTATAGCATATTAATTTTCAAATGGATTCAGATCGGTCGGTTCCCTCAAGAACAAAAACTCTTTTCAATCCCTTGTTACTTAATATACTATTTAATGCGACCCATTTTCGGAATACTTCACTACAAGGTAAATTCTTTTCAAATAAAATTAATCAATTGTATTAGAGGTATAATATTTGCAAGTAGTCTTTATAATCATAATATAAACGTTCGCGATGGGGTGTGGTTCAGCGACAGACATAATTAATCTACACGTTATCGCAATGTTACGTTGCACTTTATTAATTAAATATAAGGCGTTCGGAATTGTGTCCGGATATCAATTATTTGTCATTGAATTTAATTTTCAAACCATGCGAACTGCTAACGTAATTTATATTCTGGACTGAGTTATCTCCTTTTGTTTGCTTGTCTTGTAATTAACTTTATTCTCATTTTATTATTTCACGATTCATAGCGTTCTTTTAAATAATTTTGAATTGCATTAGGGCAGTTAACTACAGTTTACTGTGAGGCCAGAAAGGAACCTCGACTTTGGTTCTGTGAACCACAGAACATTTTACGGCAACTGCTAGTGTGGCCAAAATGAAGCTTTAAATTTTGGTTCTGCAAAATGAAGGACATTACACCCCTTAATACCACTTCCGCGTTCCCGTGGACTTTCGGTCTCGAGTACTGTCATTTATTGGTCGTTCGTAAATAGACCGAAAATTAAGGGCTCAGTCAACGAAAAGCTGGGAGTGAAGCTGCCTTGGCTTATAATATGCGTGTGTAGTGTGTCGTTTTGGCTTAGAGTAATGCATTGCAAGCGACTAGCTTACAACTATTTTCTTTTCATCTTCTGCTAGGCTTCGTGATAAGTAAGAACAGCTTCCTTGGCCGTTGGCACAGGCAATGGTGTAAAATATGCGAGCCTTTTTAAACCCACAGCTAGCCTTGCAGTTGCTATTAGAACGAGGGCAAAAAATGACTCCAAATGACTATCAACTGCGTGGCTAGTTATGGGTGCAAGAAGGGTAAAATGTTTGGACAATTGCCTGTGTCAACTGCCAAGGGAGCTATTTTAACTCTCCACCAATACTAGCAGAAGGTGAAGAGGACCTAAACGATCCTCGTGGAGAGGAATTGTGCGTATGAACTTCTGAATTGGACATTACAAATTTTCTCTCCATTTTTGATGTAGGTAAAGTCGAACTGTCGAAGCATAAACACCATACATGTTAATGATTCTTGAAGGAAATTTAATTCTCTACAACCATCCACTTGTAGGTTAAAAGTTAAAAGATACAGGAAAACGATGCGTTTTATGGAAAAAATGTATAGAAATAAAGTTGTAGCAAATTTTATAAGCTTTCGATTTTGATGAGAAAGTTTTTACTACGAATTATTGTTTCCATTTTTTTTGGCACAGAATGACTGGACTACTATGGCGTCATGCTAACGGAGACTTATCCAGCAATTAAATTATTAAAACAAGTTAAAAAGTAATCGTAAACGATTTACATAAAGCGCATTTCCACTTGCATTCATTTCCCATTTGTAAGATGCAACTTCTGTTAAAATCGTAAAATCCGGCCACAAATATGAAAGATAGCGTTGCACATGGGCAATCCATTTTTGACGTGCTACTTCAATTTCAGTTTATGAGAAGAATTTCATTTCAATGCTTTTCTAAATCAGAAAGTTGGAACTGCGCATGCGCAAACCTAAATTTTAAAACTAATGTTAGATTTTCCTTTGTTCCAAGCGCCTAAGTATCAAATTTCACTTAAATGGTTCCATAGATAAAAAAGTTGGCACTGCGCATGCGCAAAAGAAAATTTTGAACTGGCGCTCGATTTTCCTTTATTCCAAGTGCCTATGTATCACATTTCATTTAAATTCTTCCATAAATAAAAAGTTGGCACTGCGCATGCGCAAAGCCAAATTTTGAAACTGGCGTTTGATTTTCCTTTATCCCAAGTGCCTATGTATCAAATTTCGTTTAAATTCTTCCATTAATAAAAAAGTTGGCACTGCGCATGCGCAAAACCAAATTTTGAAATTGTCGTTTGATTTTCCTTTATTCGAAGTGCCTATGTATCAAATTTCGTTTAAATTCTTCCATAAATAAAAGTTGCCACTGCGCATGCGCAAAACCAAATTTTGAAACTGGCGTTTGATTTTCCTTTATTCCATGTGCCTATGTATCAAATTTCATTTAAATTCTTCCATAAATAAAAAAGTTGGCACTGCGCATGCGCAAAACCAAATTTTGAAATTGGCGTTTGATTTTCCTTTATCCCAAGTGCCTATGTATCAAATTTCGTTTAAATTCTTCCATAAATAAAAAAGTTGGCACTGCGCATGCGCAAAACCAAATTTTGAAATTGGCGTTTGATTTTCCTTTATTCAAGTGCTTATGTATCAAATTTCGTTTAAATTCTTCCATAAATAAAAAAGTTGGCACTGCGCATGCGCAAAACCAAATTTTGAAATTGGCGTTTGATTTCCCTTTATTCGAAGTGCTTATGTATCAAATTTCGTTTAAATTCTTCCATAAATAAAAAAGTTGGCACTGCGCATGCGCAAAACCAAATTTTGAAATTGGCGTTTGATTTTCTTTTATTCCAAGTGCCTATGTATCAAATTTCATTCAAATACTTTTATAAGTAAAAAAGTTTGCAATTCGGCTTATAAATGGTCGATATGCGAAAAGGGCACTGTGAATTTTGAATCGATTCGATTCAACTTTTGGCATTGCGTATTATATGGCTAAATCTATGCCCATATTGAATTTCATGCAATTCAGTTAATAACTAACGGAGATGTAAAAGCGATCGAACATTTCTAAACAAAGTTATCGTTCACACAGACAAATAGATGGACAGACAGACAAAGGAACAGACGGAGAGACCAACCGGCAGGCGACAGATAGCAATGCAAAATTATAAACGATCTCTAGGATCGTTAATAAACGGCAAAGTGTAAAATTATGGAACATGTAAAAAACGGTTTTTTGTTTTTTTTACAACAATAACTTTTTTTGTAAGCGGTACAGAAAAAATTCCTTCCTTGGTACAAGACTCGACCCCATAACGAACCGAATAGCGAAAAAAGTAGAACAATAGCTCTTAAGATAAAGAACTAGTAGCGTCGCAAAACGAGCGGACGGACGGACGGACGGACAAAGTGGCCACAATAGGGCATTTTTTTTATTTTTGTGGAAATGCGCTAAAAACAACAAATCTATGTATCCGCTAACGAATTCCCTTTATAAAATCAGACTTTCTTGATTTCATGGTATTTTGGGTTGCCGCAGTAGTTTTGCCTCCCTGTATAATAAAAGTATGTAATTAATGAAAACAAGAAATAAGCAATTATTGTTCTTTTTACGAAAATAGCACACAAGCGTTTCTAAACCGGCGGACAAACTTTTCCTAATTTAGAGTAAAATCGATCTGGTTAAACTAACTTCGGGTCTGGAAGACAGTATTACAACCGCAATGAAGTTTGCGAGAATATATAGTTAATTATTATGTGTTAATACAGACGTGCTTTATATTTAGATGAAAAAGATATTGCTTCAATTTCATCTCATTAAACGTCTGCCTCGGGGATGTGCGAAGCTACACAATTAGCGTCGCTTTTTATTTTACTGTCGGCAAGTTATCGATGAAAACGTTAAGCAAATTAAAATGAATGTTTACGGTGGGATTAGTTAAATGATTATCATTCGAAATTTAACAGAATAGTAATTACTAAAACTTCATTCGGTGTTCCCGAACAGTTTGTATTATCGATTCGACTGAAAACAAATACATGTGAAGTTTCGGAACAAAATTGTTAAACTTTATCAACAGACACAATAGGGCATTTAGTGTATGGAATGTTTTGGAAGCGGTCGTTTTGTTTCCTTGTTCGCTAATATGGTTGCTACAAACGTTAGAGGAGCGTAACAAGACGTTTGCAGACAATGGAAAACGACTCTAGTCACATATACCAAATATTCAATTAATTTAGTAAGTCAAAAGAATTTTTCCAGAAGCGAATCCCGACTAATTAAATTTGATTTAAAACTAAATTAATTTGGCCATGGGGGTAAACGGGATTTTGATTTCATAGTTATCGGTGTAATCAAGTTTGAATATAAATAAATATTCGTCCAGGATATAATTAAACCGAATTACTTTTAGTTATTAAATTACATTTTCATTTCTGCCATCAGCTCGTTTGTACATATTTGTGTACCAATATGTAACATCAAACGCTTCCAGGATTCGACTAATAACTACAGGTGACGAAAGTGAAGGAATTTTGTTAAATTTTCAATTATGGCTCTCATATGCGCTCGTAGATATGGGTAGATGGATATTCCGTCGTGGGATTAAGTTATGTCTATTACAGTCTCATTTGCCAATCTTTCAATTTTATAATATTGTATGGCTTGGGGATATCTGCCCAGGTGAATCCAATAAATGCAATAACTCGGTATCCTGCAGTCCTTCTTTGCATTTCTATGCATACTAGTTAGTTTTGATCGGATCTTTCTTGAATGACTTAATTTAAAGGTTGGATATACAATAGTAGGCTCAAGAAATGCATTATTTTTCCGAGATTTAATAGAAAAGGATTAACAAATAATACTAACAATATATTGTAATGCCAACGTACTAACCAAATAAAACCAGGTGTCAAATTCTTGACAGAATAGCTTCCTAGCTGAAACCAAAAATTGCCAACAT